ACACAGACAAGGCTGCTGGCACCAATACCCCTAGCAAACACCATCCTGTCTGGTCTTGGCCACTGATACAAACAACACAAGGTATGGCAAGATCCTTACTGACTTTGGATCAGATTCTCCTTAATTCCTGCTAAACAGCTGTGTCTACAGCCTGGCATTGCAAATCCAAGTGCAATTAAGGTTTAAAGGCCAGATCCTCATCACACTTGCCCTCCCACCAGTCTGGCCTGTGTGCTAGCTCTGGCTGTGTGAAAGATGCACATGAACCCTGTGAGGCTGACGGGAACCAGCACCATTCACAACATCACAAGCAAAGAGACAACACAAACAGCAGGGGCTGGGGACTGAGAAGTTCATCTGCTGTTGAGCAGAAAGGCAATTCAGAGCAGATCCACAGATGACTCAGTAACCACTCACACCTTACTCCTTAACTTTGTCACCTACAAGACACTTGGGGTATCAATCAATTGGGGTATCAAGGCCAATTTGCCAACTTTGCTGGTTTAGGGTGAGCTTTCCCAGGTAAGTTTATTAATTTCATCACCAGTTATAGCTCACTGTCTCTAATCTGTTAGAGACCATTCCTGCCTTCTCCCTTCCCTCCAACAATAAAACCAGAACAAATGGGAGCACTGCCCGTTTCTTTCAGCAGGACTGTAACAAACCCCTTCCCTTGCTGAAGCCCTCCAGTGGCTGACTCAAAAGGAGAGACTCCATCCACAAAGGAGTGCACAGAGGAGATCTGCAGGTTTACCTCTTGCAGCACTGCACTCTTCTCCAGGTGCTGGAACGGGTTGGAGCCCCCACCTGCAAAACAGAGGGAGTAAAGCTCTTTCCAGAGATAGTGCTATGGGAAAGCAACTTTCTAACCATGCCCATGCTTTAGAAACAGAGCGAGCATTTGGGGATAACTTTCTTCATGAACACCAAGCAACCAGAGCTCCCTCTTCAAAGTCCTATTCATTGCATGTCATAGCAGTTAGGGGAGGCAGAGTAGACAGGACATTCTTTGATTGCCTTCCCCTGATAGCCATGAACCTGGTAGACTGATCAGCTGTAGAGTAACTGCTCCACTGCTATCCCCAAAGACCTATGTGCAGCCCAGGGCTGGGAGCTCACTGATATTAGAGCATCAGTAAGGCCTAGAAACAAAAGCTCAGCAAGGAGAGGCATCACTTGCCAGACTGTCAAGTCAAGAGGGCTTTAGCCCTCCCTTACAGACCAACCAGGAAGCCACTGGTAAAGTATTGTTGGCGCTATCTCTAATGAGGAGAACAAGAGAATGGACCAGTGAGCCTGGGCCCAGAGTAACTTCCATTGTTCCACTTAACAAATGCTATTAAATAATTAACCCCCTCACAAATTAAGGATGAGATAATCAGAGGGGAAAGCACTATCACCCTGCATGGTTTCTATTAGCTTGGCTCCTAACCCTCTCGAGCTGTAGGCTTTCAGAAGCTGGCAGTTATGGATAAGCAGATTTCAATTAGTACCTATGTTCCCCCTGGCCCTGGGACAAAATGCAGTGATTTCCAGCACTGGTCCTGCTTGAGAACAAGCCTGATCTGCTGGAGACCAAAGACACAGCTCCTGGGCCCAGCACTGACCTGACCCAGGCCTGAAGCACCCTACACTGGTGCCAGGAGGCTTTGCATGAGTGAAGCTTACACTTGAAGACAACAAGTCTGCACTGGGGCTCCTTCCCAGATCATAAACTGCCCTCCTCTGGCCCAGGAGAAGTCTGCAAATGCAGCCGGGAGCTGAACGAAACAGACACTTAGGTGGGGTTGAGGAAAGAAGAAAACAAGGGGAAGGACTAAACCAAGGTCTCTGGTGTGAATATGAGCCAGTTCTAGCAGAAACACGTGAACATGTTCCCAAAACCTGCCCAGCACGTCTACAATCCCTAAATCAGGCATGAGCAACAGAGCATCACCTCATCATCTGTCATAGCACTGAGGAGCATCGAAATCGACTGCACTTCTCGGTCCTCACAAGCATCCTGTGTCAGAGCACTCCTCCATCAGAGGAGGAGGAAGATGCTGGGAAGCAGAGGCTGGGTGCAGTCACCTCGTACCAAGTGATTAACAACAACCTGGAACAGCCACGGACCACGCAAGGGCCTGGGAGCAATTGTGTGCCCAAAATAACATCTCCGAGTGCATTGCTGAAAGCCAGTGGAAGCAGCTCATCCATGGCTACATAAAGCAGATATGGAGAGCAAAGACACAAGAGCCAGTTAAGCGGGCATTCAACTCAACAGGAAGCCAGTCCTGTTAACCCTCACATGGAATGAACAGGGATACAAAGCCTGTAAATTAGGGGATGACACGCTCCATCTAACATCAAGAATGACTAGCACTCAGGCTGTATGTTTTGGACATACACACACACCCCGGAGAAAGGCAAGCACAGTAAATGCCAAGAATCTTCATCTGAAACAGCAGAAATAGGATGAGAAGTAAATCCCAGCAGCCCAGCCTGGTCTGGGTTGGAGGGGACCTTAAAGCTCCTCCAGTTCCAACCCCCTGCCAACACCTTCCACTCGAGCAGCTTGCTCAACAAAATGCAACAGCAAACTAAAGCACGGAAGCTGCAGCAGCAGGAGGAGAGCTCTGTGAGCGCTTAGTATGAACAAAATCAACAAGGGTCAGCACCATCAGACAAGGAAGTGCATCTCCTGCCAGCCTTGTGCACAGGCAATGCCAGTACCTTGAAGCATGTGGCAGGTACAGATGGGTACAATCCCAAAACAAAAGCCAAGCACAATTCCCCTCCAACAGCCGCCCCACTAAATTCTCCACTTACAAGACTGACCGAAGGCTCTGGACAAAGGGAAGCAATGGCAAAGCATTCAGTGCTCATGCAAATCAACAGCAAGCTCGGTCCCATGGAACAACCACTGGATTTACACTGAACCTGTCTGCTCAGGAGGCACTGCTCTGTCGCACAGAACAAGGAGTGCAGACGGCTTCACAGGGAGAGGAAAACAGCATCAGGCACAAGACAACACTGCGCTATCTAGCCTCGACTCTGCCTGAATTACACACCCCATGGAACATCAGCCTCTCCTTACTACTCAAGCCTGAAGCTTTGAAAGGTCAAGCATCCTCTCTGTGTGTCCTCATTGCTCTCAGCCCCATCGGCTCCACTGAAGGCAGCAATTATCCTGTGTGTGCCAGAAACACAAACCAGATTCTACTCTGCCTCAGCGCCTGGTCTGTGAGCTGGGTAACTGCAAACAGGGCCAGAACACCCCACGAGGCGTCCCGGGCTCCACACTGGAGGACGCAGCAGGTAACCTCGGTGTGCTGTGCACTGCGGCTGGCCTAGCCTCCGGCTGCAGCAGCGGGAGCACGGCAGCAGCCCCCCACTGCCACAGAGGTCTCCCCTCGCAGCACCCCCGTTGCCGCAGGGGTCTCTCCTCTCAGGCCCCCGTTGCCGCAGAGGCCTCCCCTCACAGGCCCCCGTTGCCTCAGAAGCCTCCCCTCACAGGCCCCCGTTGCCTCAGAGGCCTCCCCTCACAGGCCCCCGTTGCCTCAGAGGCCTCCCCTCACAGGCCCCCGTTGCCGCACGGATCTCCCGTCCCAGCCCGGCTCCCCCGCGCCCCCTCACCCGACTCCTCGTCCTTCTTGTCGAACTTCTTCAGCATGGTGATGCCTGTGATGCCGTTGATGCCGCCACTCCCGCCCCGTGGCACCCGCGGTACCGGTACCGGAGCCGCTGCCGCCACCCGCCCCGCCCCTTCCTGCCAACCTGTCACCGGAGCCGCACTGCGCAGCCGCGGCACCTCCCCCAGGACGTAGCTCCGGGAGAGCCTCGGGGAGCCACTGATAGGAGGAGGGGGCGGGGCCGATTGGGAACGGCGCGGTCTGATTGGCGGAGAGGCGGGGATGGGGCTAGGGGGAGCGCCGGGATTGGTGGGGTCAGGGGTACTGGGACACACTGGTAGCAGGGATAAACCGGTACCGGGATATACTGGTACCGGGATGCACGCGTACCAGGACACACCGGAGGAGATACAGCATAGGGGTCGTCACACTGGGACTGGGAGGGGACACTGGGATCCCTGGAGAGGAGTTGGGCAGGGTAAGGGAAGGAGAGCACCGAGGGAGACAATGGGGCCCCAAGGGACTCCCTGGGGCTCAACGAGGGGAGATGGGGCAGTGAGCAGGACACGGGAAGGGGGGATCCTGGCAGGGGCTCAGTGCTCCGGGGGACAAGGGGGTGCAGTGGGGAGAACCCCTCCTCGGCACGGGCATTGGTGCCCTGGAGCGTCCCTGCTGTGACACACCGGTGCTGGCCGCTCCTCCTGTCCCCGCTGCCACCGGCACTCACAGAGCCGGGGTCCAGCGCTGCCCGGGCACCTCCCATGCCCCAGAGCAGGCAGGAAGGCCAAGGACCCCTCACCCATCGCACCACCTCACCCCAGCCCGCCCGTGTCCGGCACATCCCCTCACCCGCTACCACAACACCGGGTGTGGGGGCACCCCACCTGCTCCCGCCCCCTTCCCAAAGCCAGTGCCGGCTCCGAGGCGCTGCACTCACCCTGCAGCGGGTACTCCCCGAAGAGCATGGCCGTATCCCACCGCGTCCGCAGCCCCGGCCCCGTTCGCACCTCGCTGTACTTTGCACGGGGGCCACTCCCGCTGCCCTTATCAACCAGCACCGGTGAAGACGGTGACGCCGGCAGCACAACACCGTGTCCAGGCCAGGTTGGACACAGGGGCTTGGAGCAAGCTGCTCCAGTGGAAGGTGCCCCTGCCCGTGGCAGGGGTTGGAGCTGGAGGAGCTTTAAGGTCCCTTCCAACACAAACCAGTCTGGGATTCTATGACTCCATAAACCACAACAAGTCGTGTTTGATGCCACCTTTAATTGTGCACATTCACCAGCTCCAGTGCCAGGGCTCATGGAGGATGTTGTGTGCTGCAGCCACCCAGGGAGAGGCGGGATGTGGGAAACCTGCCCGTCTGGATGTGCCCCTTGGAGACACCCCAGTGCCGGGTGAGCAGGGATCCAGGCACAGGATCCCGGTGGCACCTGGGTCTGGACCCAGCTGTGCTCAGAGAAGGCAAACCTGGCTGTACTTGCTCTGGCGGTGCCGAGGTGACAGTCATTAAACCAAGCCCTGCCAGCGGCTGTTGCTTGTGCCATGGGCACCGGGTCCAAGGGGATGAGGTGCTGTGCCTGCAGCTCCCTGCAGGAATAACGATGGCACCCCAATGGCACCCCTCTGTCCATGGCCCCCATCAGCCCTGCTGCCAGCTTCATCCCTGACCATGCAGGTCACCTCCTGCGCCCAAGCCGGGCCATCAGCTCGGCGTTGGCGGCTGCCTTGGCCTGCAGCTCCTTCTCTCTGGCCAGCTCGAGCAGGGTGCTCAGTACGTGAGTGGGGACATCCAGTGACAGAGTCACCTTCCTGCCCTTCTTCCCGGGAGCAGGTCTCTTGGCAGCTGGGCTCATCGGCCAGGGCAATGCTTGTCTCTCCGTCCCCTTTAGCGGCAGTGGGCTGGCTTTGTCCGGATGAGCCTCTTCCACACAGCCATGCTCACCCCTCCTCGTTTTGGGGAGACCCGGCAGCAGCCCTTTAGCACTGATGGTCTCCTGCCCCATCACCTTGGCTCCATCCCCAGCTCCGGAGGCCGGTGGGAGATGCTGGTGACTCAGCCCCTTCCAAGCTCTTGCTGGCACCCCAAGGACCACCAGGAAGGTGAGCAGCATCCTGCAGCGCAGCAGCACGAGCAGAGCCTGCGGGGAGCACACAGGGGGTGCTGAGCATCACCCCAGGCAGCTGCCCATGCCCAGCGCTGGGGGTGCCTTCAGTTTTCCACCCTGATTTTAACCTTTCAGCAAGGGTAGGGTAGCTCTGGGGAGGCTGAAGGGGACTTGGGAAGCAAATGAGCTGGGGGTCCCTGTCCTTCCCTGCAGCCCCGGGCTGTCCCCTCCGTTTCACCCCTTCCATCCCTTTGCCACCAGCAGAAACAGCGCTCCGGGGAGGCGGGGGATGGCTCCATGGCGACCGCGGGTGCTCCCAGCCCTGCCCTGCCCTTTGGCCCGGGAAGGGTGACGTGTGGGGCTGCCCTCCTCCCACAGCTTCCCCAGCAGATGCCATCCCCGCGCTCTCTGGGGCAAAAACCACCCCCCTAGGGGAGACATGAGCCGCTTGGCCCGGAACATGCAGTGGGTGGGTGGCAGCAGGGTGACAAGGGCACAAGTCTGTCCGTGAGCCTGAGTGGTGCTGAGCCTCAGCATCTTCCTCCACCCTATCCCCATCCCGGGCCCAGGGGACCCCGGGGGTTTGCAGGGTGCTGTGCCATGGGTTGGGGGTCAGAGCGGGTGCAGGGGCATTGCCGCACAAATCCTACCCTATGGTGGCTTCCCCCTAACCCTGAATCCCCTGGAATTTGAGGGTTGGAACTAGATGATCTTAAGGTCCTTTCCAACCCTGACTATTCTAGGATTCTCGGATTGTAATCAGTCACCTGGAGGGGTTTGCCAGCTGAAGGAAGGCAGTAAAAAGCATCCAACCTCCCGCACCCCATCTCTAGGGTAAAACTCTTTGGAAGGTTCTGGAAGGGGTGGCTGGAGTGGGTTTAATTCACTGGAAATCAGGTGATTGTTGGAAAAAGCAGAATAAAGCATCCCCCCCCCCGCACCCCATTTCCCAGGTCCTCATCCCCCAGAACCTCCCCAAAGGAAGCTGCACCTCACCATTTCCAGTGGGTCCTCGTCCCCTGCTGCTCAAGCAGCTCCCAGGGTGGGTACCAGGATTTGCCCCACTCCCCACCAAGCCCTGGCTCTTATCCTGCTCCAGCTCCACCCGCAAGGGGTGACGGGGACACACCATGGGTACCCGGGGGGGTGGAACAGACACAACGTTATTAATACACTTTGCCTAATAGGGGGTGAAATCATCCCGGCCGTGGGTGGGTGGGTGCCCCTTGCAGATCCATCAGCGCATGGGGGGGGGATTCCGGGAACCTGGGGTGGACCAGGGGTCATTGTTTAACGTCTGACTCCATCCAACCAAGCCTTCCCACTCTTTCCAGCCTCGGGTGAGCACGTAAGGGAGCAGAAGGCACAGAACCTGTCCCCCCAGCTGCAGCCGAGGTGCTGGTGGCATTGCCAGTCCCCGCTGTTGTGCCAAATGAGGATCCCAGGTGTCTCCCGGTGATGCCATGGCTAGATGGGGACATACCAGGAGCCATCACCTCCGTGCTGTGCCAGCCCTGGAGCACACAGTGGGTGAGGTGAGTTGGGTGCTCAGCCCGCAGTGCTGCCCAGCACACAGTGTTAGGGGGGCCGGGGTCAGGCTGCTGGGGGTCCTGCCCTCCCCATGGCCACAGGGTGACCAATCCCAGCCCAGCCTCCAGTGGTGGCAGCAGAGACAGTGCCAGCTCTGTCCCTGTGCCAGGACCTCCCACCCAGCAGCCAGAATTAGCTGCGGGCGCTGATTCATCCCGCAGCACAGCAGCCCCACGTGCCAGCACGTCATGGCCCGGCCGGGGGGTCACGGCCTCATCTGCGTCACCCGGGCATGGGGACAGGGCACTGGGGTGCCCGGGGAGCAGGGACTCCATCCCTGATGGGCATCACCTGCACGGGGGTCAGGGGGATGCTCAGCTCAAGAGCAGGTCCCCAGCTCTAACACTGCCTGTCCTCAGGGGTTCCCCAGTGTTGCCTCCCCTGGGTTAAAGGCCAAGGTGTGAATGGGAGGGTACTGCAGGGGGAAAGCCTCTGCTCTCCACACAGCTCTTTCTTTGCCAAACCATCGCAGCCACAAAAAGGGAACCAGGCCCCGGTTGAGGTTAAGGTGAAATTTATTCAGACGGAGGTGGTTGCAGGGAGGGGAGCAGGCAGAGCCTGGCCCAGGGATGTGGTCAGAGAGTGGGGGACATTTGGGGAGACAGGGAAAGGGATGAGGGTGTTAGATGAGGGGACCCCAACTGTGCCCAGTCCGAGTGCCACTCCAGGGCCACCAGAGAGGGAGCAGGGGCAAGCACCATCCCATTGGCAGCAAATAACTTAAAAACCACACTGGGAACAGCCCAGGAAACCTCCAGGTGGGAAAGGGGTGAATAAGGGTTGATACAAATTTCACCTTAATAGGCAATAAAACTGATACGAAAGAAAAACCCCATGAGCAGCAAAAAGACACATTAGAAATAGCACCAGGTTTCTGCCGGGGGTCCCGGCTCTGCAGCAGCCCAGCACTGGGGCAGGGGCAGCCGGATGTGCCATGGGACAGCCCAGCCTGCAGGATGCTCCCTGCAGAATGCTGCCCATGGGATGATGCCCATGTTATGGCTCTGGCTGTGCTCCTGCCTCGCCGCCAGCATCACCACGGGCACCTGCGGGGAGAGATCCGAGGAGCTGGAGCCAATGTCTGTGGCCAGCATCATCCCCCCAGCTCTGCACCGGCTGAGCCCGCGGCACCCGGTGGGGACGCTGCCGGTGCCAGCGCCGTGCTGGTCCGTGCCGGCCGTACCTGCCCCGGGGCGCTGCCCGCAGCGCAGCTCGCACTCCTCCCGGCTGTCGAAGCGGTTGCTGTTCCCCCCGCAGCCGCTGTAGACGAAGGGCCGGCACTCGGCGCCCCTCTGGCTGTGGTACCAGCGCAGCGTGTAGCGCCGGCAGCCCCCCTCGTCCAGCGGCAGGCTGCAGGGCTCCGCTGTGGGGCAGACAGCAGCAGTGAGGGGGGCAGAGCCGCAGCACCGTGGTGATGGAGGCAGAGGGGTAACCCCCGAAGGCAGGGGACCCCCCCCACATTGCTCTGCTGGGGGCTATGAGAACCCCTCCTGTGGCTCGTGATCTGCCACGGGTAGGGGACCCCTTCCACTGGAGCAGCTTGCTCCAAGCCCCTGTGTCCAACCTGGCCTTGAGCACTGCCAGGGATGGGGCAGCCACAGCTTCTCTGGGCACCCTGTGCCAGCGCCTCAGCACCCTCACAGGGAAGAGCTTCTGCCTAAGCAGCTCACCACCCATCACAGGCTGCTCTGAGCCGTCCATCTCCGGTATCTCATCGTACTCCTCCTCCTCCTCCTCCTCTCCGTACTCACTATCGTACTCGAGGTCATCAGCATCAAGTGTGACTCGTCTGTGCTGCCCTGGGAGACAGCAACGGGTGTCAGCAGCCCCCCCCTGCCCCTGCATCCCTCCTGTGCTGCTCTGCACATGCCTGCACACACACAACACACACACGTGCACACCTGCACACATACATTCCTTGCTGCCCTCTCCTTGCCTCCTTCTTTAACCAAAGCCCCCAAGACAACCATGGGCGCTGCTGGGTTATCCCTCAGTGCCTGGCATGGAGGGCAGGATGTGACATTCATGGAGCAGTGCAAAAAGGGGATGGGGCCTAAAAGCACAGGGATGACACTCACCCTCCTCTTCCTCAGCGTGTGACAACTTGAGCACAGGGACTGCAGGGACGGGCTCGGTGGGAAAGAGCCCTGTGAGGGGGAACAACACGGTACAGATATCAGGGAGGAGGCAAGGGGAAGGGGGGCGCATCCCCCCTGCTTCCCAGGGGGGAAAACAGCCCTTGCTTGTGTACAGCCCATCAGATGAGGACGGGGATGAGAAAGGGCACAGGGAGGCACACGTCCCCGTCTTGTATGTCCTCTGGGCTCTCCATCACCTGCTTGGCCACGGTCCTTGTCCTGGCGGATGCTCCTTCCTCCTCCCTGGGCAGAGCGGAAGCTGCTCCTGGCCTGAGCCCCCCAGCCTCCTTGGGGAGAAAGCACCCACCTCACCGCAGCCCCTTTGCCTCCATCCCTCCACCCCACTGCTCCAGCCTCCCACCCCCTGCAGCCCCCCTGCCCCAGCTCCAGCTCCAGGCACAGATGGGCACTGTCCCTGTGGTCCCTTCCTGGTTGGGCAGACCCCAGCAGTGCCCAGACCCCTTTGGCACCATCCTGAGCTGGGGATCCCTGCGGCACCACGCACCATCCCTTCTCCCTGTACATGGTCCCGCGCTGGTGCTGGCCCTGGCTGAAGGGGTTCCATGAGGGTCACAAGGAGGTGACAAGGGTGTTTCAGGGGTCCCAGCTGCCTCCAGCACCCCCAAAAACCGGCGGCACACGCGAGTGCTGGGACCCTGCTGGTGCCACATGCAAAGGGCATGGGGTAGGAAGGGGAAGCCACAACCTGAGAGCTCACGGGAGTCCAGGCGCTGCGGAAAGCGGCCGCCACAGGCTGCGGGAAACAGGGGGCCGGGGTCAGGGGCAGCGGGGCCAGAGCCCAGGCCGGGACAGGGGCAGTGGGACCAGAGCCCAGGCCGGGGCAGGGGGATGCTCACCGCAGTGCTGGCTCATCTCCTGCCGCACGAAGGCGCGGATCTCCTCCTCCTGCCCCGCACGGGGAGGCGCAAAAGACCCAGATCACAGCAGGGGTGGTGCAGTTAGAGAAGAGGCAGAGCCCTTCCCCAGCCCCAGCAGAGCCCGGAGCGGAGGGAAGCCCCCCACTGGCAGCAGTGGGATGGATCCGGCACCCCGGGTCCCCATCCCATCCTGATGACCGGAGCACCGCGAGCCAGTGCCGGCTCCCTCTTGGCTCTTACCGTCATTCCCGGCTCCCCCTTCTCCCCACGCTGTCCCTGGGTGCCGGGACTGCCCTGGGGACAAGCAGAGGGAGGTGGGAGGCTGGTCCGGGCCGGGGCTGGCCGGGCAGCGCAGGGACCCACTCACCAACCTGCTGCCCCCTCTCGCCGGGGATGCCGGGCACGCCGCGGGCCCCCGGTACCGACTGCCCGGGGGGCCCTCGCTCCCCCTGCAAGGGACACAGCTCAGGACCTGCCTGGGGGCTCTGGATCCCCTCTGCTCACCCAGCGCCATGGATGTGCTGAGCTCCCGGTCCCCGCACCCTGGGACAACTGTGCAGGTGGGGATGGGGACGGGGACAGGGATGGCTCCTCAGGCTCCCACCCTATCAGGGGGGCGCAAGGGGCAGGGACAGAGCTGGGACATGGCTCCTGATGGCACCAACCCCTAACAGTGGGGATGAGACCCTCCCTTTTCCACAGTACCCAGAGGGGAACCAGCCCCCCAAGCGGTGGTGGGGTCTCACCTTCTGACCCTGCATGCCCTCAGGACCTCGTGGGCCAACGCTCCCGGGGGGTCCAGGGGGGCCTGGAGCACCATCACTGCCCCGGGGACCGGGGCCACCGATGACACCTGGGGCACCCTGCAGGAGAGCAGGGGTGAGGCTGGTGGAGCTGAACCCCCCAGCCCCGGAACAGGCACCACGGGCACCCCAAAGCACCGGCTCCTTCTTGCGAAGGGAGGGGATTTGTTGTCCCTTCAGTGACAATTCAGAGCAGCACCGGATGCCTCTCCTGGGAGCATCGGGCTCTGAGGTGCTGCTGGCTCCTGGACACAGCAACGCGGGGCAATGCACACCAGCCTGCTCACCCGCTCTCCCTTCTCCCCCTGGTCTCCTTTGGCTCCCTGCTGCCCGTCAAATCCCCGGTCACCCTGCGAAGAGGAAGGGACAGGCAGCGGCAGCTGAAGCACCAGCCCAGCTTCTCCCAGCACTGCCCCCATGTACGTACCTTGGGCCCCATGAGTCCCTCCTTGCCGGGGATGCCGGGCGGTCCGGACAGCCCCAGCTCTCCCTGTGGGTGACAGGGAGGTGTCCATTAGCCACCAGCTGCATGTTCCCGCACCACCCAGTCACAACAGCACTTACCGGTTCACCTCTCCTCCCAGGCAGCCCCGAGCGCCCCGGCAGCCCCGGCTCGCCCTGCAGGACAGGGGCAGGGTGGTCAGTCTTGTGCCCCCATAGCGGGGCTGAGATCTAGCTGCAGCCGTCTCCCTGCTCCCAGTGGCTGGCAGAGGGGATCCAAAGGGCTGCAGCCTCTGGGCAGCACCCTCAGGCACACACTCACCTTCTCGCCCTTGTCCCCATCGAGGCCACAAGCACCCTTCATGCCCCGGTCACCCTGTGAGGATGAGGGGAGTCAGAGCCATACCCAAGGGATGTGGGTGCTGGCTGGGGTGGGCAGAGCCCAACCCACCTTTGGGCCGCGCATGCCCAGGGGTCCCATGTCCCCCTTGTCCCCACGGGTTCCAGGGATCCCATCGCGGCCGGGCTGGCCCTACAGGATTGAACACATGAGGGGTCTGCTCCCTGTCCCGCCATGGGCTGGCACCATGGGCTGCAGCAGCACTGAGATGCGGCTCCTCACCGGCTCGCCGGGCTCCCCTGGTGCTCCCACCTCTCCCTGGGGATGGAAAAGGCATTGGGGAGGGCAGGTGAGGGGATGGTGCCCCAGCACCCCCCCAGCACCCTCCCAGCAACAGGGGGGTTCCAGCTCCTCACCTTCTGCCCACCGGGGCCACGTGCCCCTGGGAAGCCCGTGGAGCCCTTCTCGCCTTGCTCCCCTCTTGTCCCCTGCAAGCAGAGACCGGATCAACACAGGGCAGGAGGGAGAGCTCTGGCCATGGCACAGCCCCGTGGAGCCACAGGGACCACAAAGACCGACTCCAGCAGCTCCCAGCAGCCAGGGTGCCCACAAGCACACGGACACAAGGATATCATCAACCCCTGGTCCCTGGGTCCATCAACAGCCCTCCATGGTCCCCAACCCAGCAGCCCCCAGCCCTGTACCTTCTCTCCAGGCATGCCTTGCTCCCCTTTGTCCCCCTTGTCCCCTTCTGTGCCCTTCAGGCCACGGTCTCCCTGCAAAGGGGGAAACACAGGGACAGGTCAGGGCATGGGGAGATGCTCAGATAGATACACATTGGGATGGGGAGAACAGAGCTCCCTGGGCAGGGATGGCAGAGAGATGGGAACAGGGAGGATGGGGACAGCTCTTACCGGCTCCCCCTTGCTGCCCCGTGCCCCAGCAGGCCCCTCCACCACCACGGTATCGCCCTGCAGGAGGGAATGACAGGGATGGGGTATGCAGGGAGTCAGCGCTGCTGCCCTCCTCCCGCTGCCCCATCCCAGGGACTCACCTTGTCTCCTTTGGGTCCTGGGCCCCCAGCGTCCCCCTGTGAGGAAGGGGAGATGGGGAGATGCTGTGGGGATGCCAGCAGGGAGCGACAGCACCCCTGGCACTGGGGACCCTGACCCCGGGGGTGCGCTGTTCACCCCACCGGCTCCCAGAGCCCCTCACCTTGTCCCCACGCTCCCCCCGGTTCCCTGGCAAGCCCTGTGGGAGAGAGAAGAGAGAAGAGGAGAGGGAAGGGGCGCTGGAGGCCGGGGGTGGGCAGCTGGGGGGGGGTATTTACCACTGGCCCTCGGTCCCCTTCTGGCCCTGGGCGCCCGTCTTCACCCTGCGAGAAGAAAGGGATGTGAGGAGGGGTCTGTGATGGGGGCACCCAGCACCCACCAGGGACAGCCTCTGGCTTGCCTGGGGACACAGGGGCGGTGTCAGGGACACGGGGGCTGTGTCAGGGACACGGGGGCTGTGTGAGGGACACGGGGGCTGTGTCAGGGACACGGGGGCTGTATCAGGGACACGGGGGCTGTGTCAGGGACATGGGGGCTGTATCAGGGACACGGGGGCTGTATCAGGGACACGGGGGCTGTATCAGGGACATGGGGGCTGTGTCAGGGACACGGGGGCTGTGTCAGGGACACCAGGGCTGTATCAGGGACACGGGGGCTGTGTCAGGGACACGGGGGCTGTATCAGGGACACGGGGGCTGTATCAGGTACATGGGGGCTGTATCAGGTACACAGGGGCTGTGTCAGTGACACGGGGGCTGTGTCAGGGACACCAGGGCTGTATCAGGGACACGGGGGCTGTATCAGGGACACGGGGGCTGTGTCAGGGACACGGGGGCTGTGTCAGGGACACGGGGGCTGTATCAGGTACATGGGGGCTGTATCAGGTACACGGGGGCTGTATCAGGGACACGGGGGCTGTATCAGGGACACGGGGGCTGTGCCTGTACCTACCCGTGGCCCCGGGTCTCCGCGCTCTCCTCTGGCCCCCGGCAGCCCGGCCCCCGGCGCACCCTGCCAGTGGATGTCAAGAGCTCAGCCCTGCCCTTGCTGCCCCAGCCATGCCGTGTGCCCCCCATGGCACTGGACACCCCACACAGGGTCCCTGCTGCCCCCCCCTGCTCCAAGTGCCACCATCCAGAGCAGGCTCAGCATCCCCGGGGTAACTGCATCAGGGACACCCTGCGGGAGGAGCAGCCCTGTCCCTACCTTGTCACCCTTCAGGCCTGCAGCCCCCTGGATGCCCTAGAGGAGAGGAGAGGGGTGAGTGATCCATGGGAGGAAGGCGATGCCAAGCACCCCACGAAGCACTCTGGGATCCCAACCAAAGCCCAGCAGTCCCAGCCCTGGGTGGGATGTGCAGGGAGGGTGCCCATCACCCTGCCCACACCAACGGGCACCCGAGCACTGCAGCCCCACACTCACGGCCGGCCCCGGGGGCCCTGCAGGTCCCGGTGCTCCAGGGGTGCCGTCTCTCCCGGGAAAGCCGATCAGACCCTGTAGGGAAACAGGGGTGAGAGGCAGGGACTGCAGTGGGGTGCGGAGGGGTCTCATTGCCACCCCCAGGGCTCCAGGGTCACCCACTGTACCCTCTCTCCTGGGGGCCCCGGTGGGCCAGGCTGCCCACTGTCCCCTCTGAGCCCTGGCTGTCCCGGTGTCCCAGCGATGCCAGCCAAGCCCGGCGGTCCTGTCAGTCCTGGCAAGCCGATGTCACCCTAGGGCAGGGAGGAAAACGATGCTGCCCATGAAGACAGCCCCTCGGGAGCATGCTCCCCCCTTGGTCAGGGCAGCAGCATGGCACTGGGGACGTGATGCCCCGGGTGACAAGGGGACAGGGGTTACCTTCAACCCCGGCGGCCCATCCTGTCCCGGCGGTCCCTGTGCGCCGACCCCTGGTGATCCCTGCATGGGGCACAGAGCGTGGGGCACATCCCCTGGCCCACAGGTACCGTGTGCCGGGGGCACCGCGCCACCCGGAGCAGACACCCACCTTCTCCCCTTTGGCTCCAGAGGACCCTTTGGCTCCCTGCGAAGACACAAATGCACCGGTAAGGACTGGGCTGTCCGTGATGAGGACACAGGTCCTCTAACAGCATCCACCCCTGACCCTATGTGCTCCTACTCACATCTTCCCCAGGATCTCCTGGCTCCCCGAATCGTCCCTGCTCCCCCTGGCAGTGAGAAAAGAGCAGAAAGCAGGAGCATGAGATGATGCACGGGGCTGTGTCCCGATGCTCCCACTGTGCGCAGGCAGCCCCAGGACCCCCTCCCTGCCACCCCCCAGCAGCACTCACCTTCTCGCCCTTGGGGCCTGGCAAGCCTCGGTCACCCTTGGAGCCCTGCTGGGGGAGAGTGGGGTTGGGGGGGCACTGGCCTGACCCCATGAGGTGGGGGGGGGGTGAGGTTTACTGGGGGGGTTGATGGGGCCAACTCACGGGCTCTCCCAGCAGGACACCCTCCAGCAGCGCCGGTTCGCCCTGCAGCAGCACACACAGGGATACAGATGTGCGGGCACACACGGGTGCTCACTTGTGTCAGCATCAGGTACCAGACCCCTGCCCGCCCCAACCCCAGTGCCTTTGGCAGCACCCAAGGGTGGGGTTCCCCCGACCGCGCACCCCAGCTCCTCACCTTCTCCCCTTTGGCACCAGGGGGACCGACGATGGCCTGGGCACAGTAAGGGGGACCGGTGAGCAGGGCTCCATGGGGATGCTCCGCTCATCCCGGTGCTCCAGCTCCGCACTCACCTGCCCTGGCGCTCCAGCATCCCCTGGCTCTCCCTTGGGACCAGCGGGACCCGAAGGTCCCGGCACCCCCTGGCACAAGCAACAGAAGCCTCAGGCACAGACCCCAGGTGGAGCACGGGGTCCCACTGAGGCGGGAGCACACACGTACCATCTTCCCCGGCATCCCAGCCTCGCCATCCTTCCCTGGCACGCCATCCCGGCCCGGCACTCCCGGCTTCCCGCTCTCCCCCTGCGGGCAGCAGGACCGGCTGTGGGGGGCAGCTGGGTATTGGGGTCCTGCAGCCCCAAACAGCCCCACACCTTCCAGAGCACCCACACCGGTGGCAACCGGGCAGGGAGGGGATAACGCACTCACCACTTGTCCCGTCAGCCCGGGGACACCCGGTGGGCCCTGCAAGGGAGATGGGAGCAGAATCAAATGGGAGCCCACCAGGAATGGCCATGGGACAGGTCAGGGGGCTCTAAATACCTACCCCGGGGCCAGGGGGGCCAGGGGGACCAGGCAGCCCGATGTTGCCCTGGGGACCAGGCAGGCCCTGCAATGGAAACAGAGGTGTCAGATAGGCTGGAAAACTGCCCTGGCACAGCCAGGACCTCGGCTGGCCCCACCGGAGGTGCACCATGGGCTGGATGGGTTTGGGGGTCTGGATGGGGAGGGGGCGAGTGCTCACCCGGATGCCAGAGCCAGGCTCCCCCGGATCACCCTATAATGACAGCACCAGCATCAGCCCCATCACCCGCCCCACAGCCACATCCCTGCCCTGCCGCTGGCAATGCCAGCACCAGTGCCGCTGCCGTACCTTGGTGCCAGCTGGACCCGGGGCTCCCGGTGGGCCGGTGCTACCCTGCAGGGGACAAGGGGATGTTAGGTTAGGGCAGCACTTACTGGTGGCACAGCCCACCCTGCCCATGTCCCCTTGTTGCACAACAGTCCCCTGTGCATGGCACAGGGTGGGTCCTTACCGGAGGTCCTGGGGGTCCCGGGTCTCCTGGGCTGCCCTGAAGGGAGGAAGAGATGGGGGTCACTGCAGGGATGGGTTTTCCCCAGTGGATGCCTGGAGTATCCCCTGGGAGAGGATACCCAGAGAGTGCCACAGCAAGGGGAGGGAGGACACAGTGCTGTGGGGCTGTCACAGGGATGGGGGGGCACAGACACCTACCGGGCGTCCCAGCACGCCAGGGAAGCCTGGCAAACCCTGCAAAGAACCACATCAGGGCCAGGGGGTGAGCAGGAACCCGGCACCTGCAAACAGCCCTGCCTGTCCCCAGGGATGCTCCCTGTTCCCATCTGCAGTACAGCCTGGGGTCCGCGTAGTGAAGAACTTCCTCAGATCCCATCTCAGTCTCCCCTCTGGCAGGTTCAAGCCATTCCCCTTGGCCTGTCCCTGCAGGCCCTTGTCCCAAGCCCCTCTCCAGGTTTCCTGCAGCCTCTTTAGGCACTGGAGCTGCTCTAAGGTCTCCCCTTCAGGAGCCTTCTCTTCTCCAGGCTGAACCAGCCCAGCTCTCTCAGCCCCCTGATCTATGCTCCCACTGCTGCTGGTGACGGCTGGTGTGTGACCACAGGACCTTGCCCCTGCCCCAGCCCACATCCCCTCACCATGTCCCCACTCACCGGTTTCCCCTCTGGACCAGACAGCCCTCTCTCACCCGGGAGACCCTGGAGCAAGAGATGGGCACGGCTCAGTGCCAGGCTGGGGACCGGGTCAGGGTCAGGGTCAGTGCCAGGCTGGGGACAGGGTCGGGGTCAGTGCCAGGCTGGGGTTCAAGCAGCACTCACCGGGGCTCCATCCCTGCCCTTCTCACCAGGCTCCCCTCGCTCTCCCCTTGGGCCACCCTCGCCCTGCAGCAGGAACAGGCACAGGTCACAGGACAGGCAGGGACCATCCTGCCCCATCGCCGTGGGGTGTCCCCAGCAGTGCCCCCCCGCGGGGCTGTGCTCCGTGGGGCTGCCCCATTGGCAGCAGCACACTCACGACCTCAGACCTTATCTCCTTTGGGTCCCCGCTCGCCCTCGGCTCCCGGCTCACCCTGTGTGTGGGAGAAGACAGAACCCATCAACCCCCATGGCCCCTTCGCTGTCCCGGGTCACAGCCCCCCCAGCTGCCCCCTCCCTTCTGCCCATCCACGCACCTTCACTCCCTTGGGTCCAATGGGGCCGCGCTCACCCGGGAAGCCCATGAGGCTGCCCTCGACCACCTCTGCCTGCGGGGGGGGGGCACAGTCAGGGCCAGCACCCAGGGACACCAGCGAGGTCCCCCCCGGGCACAGCCCTCCCCAGATCCCCCTGCCAGGGCACTGTCCATCCCCAGAGCTGCAGCAGCTCCCCTGGTGGTGGTCCCCAGGAGCACCCATCACTTACCTTTGGCCCGGGGGGGCCCTGGGGGCCGGGCAAGCCGTCCCTGCCCTGGAGGGGGGAGAAAAATAGGTTGAGCATCAAAGGGACAGCAAGGCACAGGGGAGCAGAGCCACTCTGGTGCGACCGCTGCTGGTTGCCATAGAGCATCCCTCTGTCCCCCAAAGCCCCACAGCACAGCAGGGACGGAGGGGACCGTGTCCCCATCTCACCTGCTCGCCCCGCTCGCCCTTCTCGCCCCGGTCACCCTGGGAAAGGAGCATGGTGGCCATCAGAGGGCTGTCCCCACGCCCCGGCCCCTGTCGCATCCCTCACCCCATCCCCACACACTCACCTTCTCTCCGGGCCGCCCGGCCTCCCCCAGCTCCCCGGCCCGGCCCGGCACCCCAGGGATGCCCGGCTTGCCCGGCTCCCCCGGCTGCCCCGCCGGCCCCTCGGGGCCCCGCTCGCCCACAGCGCGGCCCGTGGGGCCCTGCGGGCCGGGGGCACCCGTGTCCCCTTTGTCACCTTTGGGTCCTCGCTCGCCGGGGAAGCCCAGGGAGCCCTGCAAAACACAACACCGTGCTGCCAGAGCCGGCCTGCGCCGGGGCTCCCAGCCCTTACCGACCATCCATGGCCATGCCCGGCGCCGCTCACCTCCCGACCCGGGGGCCCCCTTTCACCCGGCTCTCCCCGGCTGCCCTTCTGGCCCCGCAGCCGCTCCGACACGGGCAGGAATGAGTCCGAGCTCCCATCATAGGCACCCGTGAGCTCCTTCAGCGATGAGACCTGGCAGGGAGGAGAGAGCCGCCGGTCAGCGGGTGAGAGGAACCCAGCCACAGCAGCCCCACCAACCCATGCCGATCTCCCTCCACCACTGTGTGCCAGGAGCAGCCCCCAGCCCCACAGCCCTCCTGCACACCTTGATGCCGAGCGCTTCCAGGCTGCGTTCCACGTTCTGCAATGGAGACACATTAAAATGAAGCGGGATTTGCTGCTCCCATCCCGAGGGCTGCAGAGGGTTCCTGTCCCCTGCCGCTGACAGCCCAGCAGGTCTGGGGGCCTCACCACTGCAGCGCCGGGGTCTCCCCGTGCTCCAGGGCTGCCAGGTCGCCCCTAGGTGTGCAGGGAAAGAGGGAAGATGTGCGGAGTGCAGGAGCTGAGGAGAGCAGGGCTGGTGCTGCCCTCGGTAGGTTTCAGCGCTAACACTGCCGGTGCTGCCACCGCCCTGGGTGTTGGTAGTGAGTGGGGCTCAGCGCTGGGTACTCACAGGCTCCCCTCGCAGGCCGGGCTCCCCCGGGTCCCCCTGAAACACAGCGAAGGTGTCAGTGGGGCAGAGCCAGCACCGGGGTCCGGCCCTGCCCGGCGCAGGGAGTCCCACCAAGGACTCATCCCTCTGGCACAGGGTCCCCAGTCCTTTGCCTCGGGTCTGGAGCGCACCTACCTTGGGTCCGGCTGCCCCTCGGAGCCCCGGCGAGCCCTGCAAGACGCGGAGGGAACGGTGTCACCCAGCACCATGGACAGGGGCAGTGCCCGCGGAGGGCTCCGGTGCTGGGTGGCACCAAGGGCACTACGAACCTGTCCGGGGGGCCCGACCTGCCCCGGGACGCCGGGGAGGCCGGGGGGGCCGAGGGGCCCTGGGACACCCCTGTCCCCCTGTTCGCCCTTGGCACCGCTGCGGCCCTGCAGAGAACAGAGGCAGCCGCTGGGTGCTGGTGTGTCCCGGTGCAGCAGCACCCAGCACCCGTGACCACGCTGCTCTCACCTCTCTGCCAGGGGGTCCTGCGTCACCTTTGTCTCCCTAACGAGGGGGAAAGCAGTTACAGGGATGCTGCCCCATCTGCATGCCCCAAAATGATGCTCTGGAGCCAGGCAGCGGGAGCCAGGGGCTGTGCGGGGAGCACAGAGGAACCACGCAGGGACCAGCCAGGGCTCGGCTCCTCACCTTCCTCCCATCCTCTCCTGGTGTCCCATCTTCTCCCTGGGGACAGAGGCTGCAGTCAGTGCCCGATGTGACCACCGCAGCACAGGGACAGGCACTGGGGGCACAGCTCAGGGCATGGGGCTCTTGGCCACTAACCCCATGTGGGGGGATCAGCAGCCCTCAGGACCCCCAGCAAGGCCAAACCCAAGCCCTGCTCCCCCTACTCACGTTCTTGCCGTTGAGGCCAGGTTTGCCGTCCTCGCCGGGTTTGCCCTGGGAGGAAGCAGAGGCAGCAAAAGCCCCCCCCCAGCACCCAGGGGTCCTCAGGCCCCATCAAGACCCCAGGGTGCAGGGAAGGGGGGACCGGGCACAGGGTGAGCCCAGCAAATGGACCCAGTGGGGAGGGCAGAGGGCAGGATGTGTCCCCATGGCTGGTACTTACGGGGACGCCAGGTGGTCCCAGGGGTCCCACAGGGCCAGGCAGTCCCTGCTCCCCACGCAGCCCGGGCAGCCCCTGCAGGGAAAGGGGATGGGGAGCATGGAGAGGGGGGTATGAGGGGGAGCACATGGTGGCAGAGCATCCATCTGCTCTGGGACAGCAGCACGCTGCTGGGGACAGGGACAATCCTGCTGTGCTTCCCCAGACCAGGAAGCATGGGACAGGACATCGGTTCCTTACATGGCCCCATCAGAGGCACAGCCCGAGCCCACCCTCCCCGAGGTACTTACATCCCGGCCGGGGTCCCCCTGCTTCCCAGGGTCTCCCTGCAGACAAGGAGAGGTGAGGACAGGGACACCCCTGACATAACGCTCCCCGTGAGCATCCCCAGCCCAGGGGCAGCTCCTCCTGCCCCATCGCTCCCCCAGCCCCTCCCCTGCCTCACTCACCCGCAGCCCGGCAGGACCTGGGGGTCCTGGTTTGCCCTCCAGCCCATTGCGGCCATCCAGCCCTGGCAGGCCACGGTCCCCCTGTAACAGAACAGCGCGGCAGGGCTGGAGCAGTGGGGCAGGACAGGGGTGCTGTGGGGCAGCCCCACCTGGCAGCCCGCTCACCTTCTCTCCCGGCAAGCCTCGGTCCCCAGGGTCACCCTGCAGGTGGGAACAGGAGTGAGCAGCATCCCCCTCAATGGGAGCCAAGCAGGACATGGACCCCCCCCAGACCCCATGGGGACACTCACCCGAGCACCGGGGGGGCCGCGGGGGCCCTCCACGCCCTGTAAGAGACACACTCAGCAGTGGGGGCACAGGGGTGGAGTGGGGGGGCCTGGGTGCTCCCCACCGACCCCTGCACACCAGGACCCCCCCCGCTGTGTCCCGGCACCTCCCGCCCCACGGACCCAGCTCCTACCCTCTCTCCCGGCGGCCCCGGGGAGCCAGCGTCGCCACGGGCGCCTTTTGCCCCGTCCTCACCAGGGTCCCCGGCGTCCCCCTGCCAGGGATGGGCACGGTCAGAGCCTGAGCCCTGCCCCCGGCGCTGCGGCAGAGCCCGTGCGGAGCGGTTCAGGGCGCGATAACAGCAAAGGTCTCGGTACAGAGGCATGGGCAGAGAGGAGGCTGCTGAGCGCAGCGCAGCCCCCGGCAGGGCAGATCGTGGTGCAGAGGAACGCAAGGAGCGGCTCTGCTGCGGCAGGAGCCGGCCGGGACCGCGATGGTCCCTTAGAGCAGAGCCGGAACTGCCCGAGCCTCAGCTGGGTCCTCAGAGCACAACAGCCCCCTCCTGCGGGACCCCTGAGCCGTGAGCGTGATGGGGGTTCAAGGACCTCAGCCCTGCACCGGGCAGGAGCATCAGCCCTCATGCCCCTCGGATCCTGTGTGCCCCATCCATGCTCCCATCGGCTCCCCATAGCAGGGGCTGTTTTGAGCAGGGAGGACTCAGTGCACTGGGATGCCAGCGCACAGGCACAGCCTGGAGGGGGGGATGACACAGGATGGGCCACAGCACCGCCAGCACCCCGATGGGGGTCCTCATTACCTTCTCACCCTTCTCCACCACTCCTGCGAGCCCCACATCTACCTGTGGGGCAGAGAGAGGCTGTTGGAGCACAGGGGCCAGGCACAAGCCCGGGGGCAGGGGGTAGGGGGTGGGCATAGCTTACGGATCGTCCTGGGGGTCCGGGAAGCCCCTGAAAGGAGAATGGTGACAGAAGGGGGTCAAGGGGAGCTGGTGTGGTCCCGGGGGGGGTGGGGGGTGGCACATGGCCCCACATCACTCACCGGCTCCCCACGGTCACCCTTGCTCCCTGGTGCTCCGGGGCTGCCCTGTGGTAAAGAGGAATAGGCTGAGGGGAAGAGGGCATCGGGATGCGTGGGGTGGAGGGGACCCCTTGGGGTGTGGAGCAGTGGTGCCCATGGGGCAGTGGGCACACACACACAGCACTCACGTTCCTGCCTTCGGGACCCGGGTCCCCTGAGTCTCCCTTCTCCCCGGGGGGGCCGCGGTAGCCGGGCAGGCCCTGGGTAGGGGGTAGAGGGGGTGTAAGCAGGACCCCCCGGTACCAGTGACTGCCCTCCAGCCCCACACTTACCCGCGGGCCTCTGTCTCCAGGTTTGCCGGGCAGCCCTGCTTCACCCTGTGGGGAGAAAGGGGTCAGTGTGGGGTGAGGGGGGGCTGTGGGGCTCGGTCCTGGGATGTCCTCACTTACCGGGGTGCCTTCATCACCCTTCTCTCCGCGCTCTCCCTGCGGCACGGGTCAATGGCACCGGATGGGGATAAAGCACAAGTCACCAGCATCCCCCTGCTCCCCACCACTCCCCCTCTGTGGGGCCACAGAGCCCCACAGCCCCCTAGCCCCACGCTACCTCCTTGCCACGCTGCCCGCTCGGCCCTGGTGTGCCCGCTCGGCCCGGCTCCCCCTTCTCCCCTGGCTCCCCCGGGTCACCCTAGGCAAGGGGGGAGCCAGGAACAAGGGGTCAGGGCAGAGTGGGGTGAGCATGGGGGGGCTGCTATGGGGAGAAGGGCTCAGCATGGACCCCTCTGCTCCCCAGAACAGCATGGGCTGCAGGGACCCCCTCCAGAGCCCAGTGAAGGGAGGGACAGACAGAGGGGCAATGACTCCTGCAGTGATGTTACCTTTGGGCCACTCCTGCCCGTGAGGCCAACGATGCCCTGGTTGTTGGGGAGGGAGAGCGGATGTCACCGGGCAGTGGGGCAGAGCTCTGTACCCCACCACCCGCAGTCCCGGATGCACCCACACTCACCCGATCGCCCTGCTCGCCTTTGGGGCCGGCCGGCCCGGGGATGCTCAGCCCAGGGGCACCCTAGTAACGGAGAGATGCAGCTTGGAGCAATGGTAGGAGCACTGTGAGCCTGGGGGCAGTGCTGAGCCTCCTGTGCCCCCCATCCCTAGGGGTACTCACATGGGCGCCTTTCTCTCCCGCATCGCCCTTGGGGCCGGGAGGTCCTTCCGGTCCTGGGAAGCCTCGATCGCCCTGGAGCAGATGAAACGGCACCATCAGCACCCCCCCAACCACCGCCCTTCTCCCCCCCACTGCACAGCCCCTGGGGTGGATGCCCAGCTCTGCGATCCCAGCCCCAGCCATGCCCTGGGGGTCGGGGTGGGCACAGGGCTGGGGGCATGGCCGGGGCAGCGTTACCTTCTCCCCTCGGACACCGGCCACGCTGGGAGCCTGCAGGGGAAGCAGAGGGGACGGTGCTGGGCGCTGCCCGCCGGTCCCTGCGGCGGGGCTGGGTCCGGCAGCGCTGGCCCCGGGGCAGTGTCCCACGTACCGGCTTCCCGGGCGGTCCTGGCTCACCCTGCGGAGACACAGACCCCCTGAAGCACTGCCCGCCATGCCCGCACCCCGCAGCCCGGGACCCCCTCCTCACCTTCTCCCCCCGTGGCCCGGCCGGTCCCGGAGCTCCCTATGGGAGAGAGGAGAGCTCAGGCGCTGGCAGTGCTGGACACGGCCCCAGGACACGGCAGTCCCCGAGGTGCCACATCCACCGCACTATGGCCGCTGTCCCCGCTTACCTCCCTGCCCGCCGGCCCTGGGCGCCCTGGGGCTCCCGCCTCGCCCTGCAGCACAGGAGGGAGAGGAGGTGTCAGGGGCAGGATCGCCCCAGCACAGCTTCACCCCATAGCACACCTACCTTCTCGCCCTCAGCGCCCGGCGCGCCGCGGTCCCCCTGTGGAGCCAAGCAGAGGAGGGCTTCAGGAGCCTTTCTTCTCCACCCCACAGCCTCTGCCCCACACACTGCCCCCAGAGCACATCCAAGACCACTGGGCTCCCACCATGACCCCCCGGCACAGCCACTGTGGGGCCACAGGGACACCAGGACACACTGATGGTGCCGAACAGTGCGGTCCTGCTCCGGCACGGTCTCACCTTCTCGCCTGTCTCTCCCAGCTCTCCTGGTGCCCCACGGTCCCCCTGGTGCAGGAGGAAGATGGGTCAGGGGCAGCAGGACCCGTGGGGATGGCACAGGTCACTGCACCCAAAGGCAAGGTGGGAGCATCCCTCCGGCCCCTGCATCACTCACCTTCCTGCCCTGCTCCCCCGGCGGTCCCCGGGGACCCTGCAAAGGAGGATGGAGGAGATGTCACCTGTGTCATGGCAGGGCACACGCACAGGAGCAGGAGCCCCTGAGCACAGCTCCTGCCCCTTGCCCTCTCTCAGGGAACTCACCCGCTCTCCAGGGTCCCCGGGGCGTCCGGGTGGCCCAGGGAAACCTTCGCTGCTGTCACCCTGGGGATCAGGAAAGGCACAGCCGTGCCCGTGAGATGGGCACAGGGAGCAGCATGGGGTCCACCCCAACGGAGCATCCTCACCCCCCTCTTACCTTCTCTCCCTTCAGGCCAGGGGGCCCAGCAGGTCCCCGAGGCCCGGGGTCCCCAGGCAGACCCTGCAAGAGAGCCCAGCTCAGCCCCGGCCGCAGTTCACCCCTGGTGCCACGCAGCCAGCGCAGCCCCGCTCCCCTCTCCTATCCCTGCTGGCCATGGGGCTGAACTCACCGGGGATCCGGGCTCCCCACGGGGCGCTGCCCCATCCACAAGCCCAGGAGGGCCCTGCAGAGACAGTGATCAGAGCGTGGGGACAGCCCCGGAGGGCTCCATCCTTCCCTGCATCCAGGGGGACTGCAGTGCTCTCCAGCATCCAGGAGCGCACAGGAGCCAGGGAGATGCGGAGCCACTCACCCTTTCCCCTCGGTCACCCTTCTCCCCCTGCAAGGGCAAAAAGCAAGTAAGGGCAGATCTGGGCATGGACACGTCTGGTGGGGACACAGCCCATGGGCAGGACATGGGGAGCACACAAGGGGAGCAGCTTCACCCCCATCCCACATCTCCCTTGCTCAGCACGGGTGGGATTTACCTTCACAAACTCTCCTGGCGGTCCCGGTGACCCTGGGGGTCCCACTGGACCAGGGGGCCCTGGGTCACCAAAGGGCCCCCGTGTGCCGGGGCTGCCGGGGGGGCCAGGGCTGCCCTGGGGGACAGAGATGCTCCGTTAGCTGCAACCGGGGCTGTTGCAGAGACCCCTCAGCATCACCATCCTCACACGTACCGGCCTGCCCGGCTCCCCTTTCTGGCCTGGCAGCCCCTGCCTTCCGTCTGTGATCACCTGGGGCTCCCCCTGAATGAGGAGGGGGGGAAGGATCAGTGTCCTGATGTCCCCGTTGTGTCCCCAGGGCAGGACGGGGCCTCAGGGCCAGGAGCCCAGCAGGGAGATGGGGACACCCTGGGGTCAGCAGACACCAAGAGGCAGGAGATGCCGGGGGCTGAGATGCCCCAGCAGGACCCTGCAGGGCAGCCCCTGCCCATCACCTACCGGCTCTCCCTTCTCCCCCTTCAGGCCAGGGAGCCCCATCGGTCCTTGTGTCCCCTGGGAAGGAAGGGCAAGAGTGAAGGGGGTACAGGCAGGCAGCGGGACAGGGGAGGGATGGGTTTGTACTCACGGGATCCCCACGGGGACCAGGGATGCCCTGGAAAACAACAGCTCAGCAGGTGAATGCAGGTCCCTGCCAGCAGTGGAGCAGGGATGGGAGGGGGGCTCCAGGCGAGGCAGGGATGGACAGTCACACTTGGGACACACAGGGACAGCAGTGACCCTGCCAGGTACAGAGACCCCTGGCACAGGGAAAGGGCCAAGCAATGGGGAGAGCCCACGAGGCAGCAGGGGACCCAAGGGACACCCGCACTCACCGGCTGGCCGGGTGATCCAGGGCTCCCAGGGCGGCCGGGGCTTCCTGGTGTCCCATCAGCTCCAGGGTACCCCTGTGGGACAAAGAAGCCAGCATCTGATGCACTCAGGCACTACTGGACACCCCCCAGTGCAGTGCTGGTCCCTGCACCAGTGGCAGAGAGCTGTGCCCAGGGACCCCAGCTGAGGGCTCGGGGGTGCTCACCCTGTCCCCCTTCTTGCCCGGCTGCTCCACACTCCCTCCGGGCAGACCTTGTGGCCCCGGGGGTCCTGGAGGTCCTGGCAGCCCATGGCGGCCCTGGAGGGACAGCAGAGAGGATGGGCTGGGTGCTGGGTGCTGGGTGCTGGGTGCTGGCCAATGGAAGTGCCTCCTCCACCCCAATGGCAAGGGCTGGGCAGGTCCCTGCCCCAGAGCCTGCCAGCAGGACAAGGGGACACGGGGACCATGTCACTGCCCCCCCCCCCCCGGGAGCTGTCCCCATCAGGATATTACCGGTTGTCCAGGGGGGCCTGGTGGCCCCGTGTGTCCTTGTGGTCCCTGTGGAGACAAAACCAGTGGTGAGCACCCTCAGCGGGCTGGCACTAGCAGGACTTGGGGGACACGTCACCCCCAGAGCCACAGCCGTGGGGGGACACAGAGCACTCACTGCCTGGCCACGGTCTCCCTTCTCGCCCTGCAAGGGGACAGAGTGGAGGGGGTCAGGGACTGCATCCCCATGCTCAGCCCCTCATTGCGCTGCTGCCATCAGCAAGCTGGGGGTCCCTGTACCCCACTGAGCTCCTATGGCACAGTACAGCATAGTGCAGCACGGCATGGTGTGGGGATGCTCACCTTGGGGCACTGCACGGTGCAGGGTCTTGGCTTCGGCTCCGGCTCCGGCTGACAGGACCAGAGAAGCCTGCATGAGCCCAGGGCAGGAGAAGCCCCCCCCATGGGGCTGCTCCCACCCCCAGCCCCTTACCCTGGTCGAGATGATGGTGCAGAGGTCATCGGTGAGCTCTCCCTCCAGCTCAGCCAGGGCACCGCCGCCATGGTAGATGTACCGCGGGTCCTCCCCAGTCACCATGCGCCGGAGCTGCTCCCGGTCTGCTCCCTCCAGTCCCACCGCCAGCACCCGGACCCCTGGCCAAGAGCAGCCTCAGCACCCTGCGGCGCTGCCGTGCACCCTGCGGCACTCATCCATCCATCCTCACCCCCAGCCTTGACATCCCTGGCCGCAGCAATGGCATCGTCCCCGGAGGGGCCGTCAGCCAGGATCACCAGCACGGCCGGCACACTGGGCCGGCGCCCCGCACCAGGGCTCAGCAGGTAGGTCCTGGCGAAGGTGATGGCTGCCCCTAGGGAGGGAGAAGGAGGAAAGGGCAGTCCGCAGGGTCCCACAGCGCTGCCCGGCTCCCGGAGCCGCCCCTCACCGATGGCGTTGCCGCTGGGCTCCTCGTAGCGCATGGTGTGGATCTGCTCCAGCACGGTGGGCAGGTCGCTGGAGCGGTTCAGCAGCAGCCAGGGCAGGCTGCGGTAGCTGTACGTGGCCAGGGCCACCTGCGAGAGCACAGGGAGCAGTGGGCACCACAACCCACCCATGTCCCCCGGGATCCCCCACCACCGCAGCCCCTACCTGGGTACCATCCGGGCCCAGGTGCCCCAGCGCAGACACGGTGTTGGAGAGGAGCGTGCGGATGGCGTCAGCGCCAGAGGAGCTGTCACGGGTGCCATGCACCAGGAACACGACGTCACCGCGGGCATCCCTGCACACTGCAGACAGGGACGGGGTGAAGCAGCTGCTGGGACAGCCACCAGTGACCAGGTCCCCAGTGAGCCCATGGTACCTGTGCGCTCACTGACAGACGTCTCGGCGCCGGGCGTGCTGCCCAGCAGCGGGCGCAGGGTGAAGGTGTAGCGTTGGCCCAGGCGCAGCCCTGAGACCTGCTGGGAGCTGGCAGTGCCGGGCAGCGTGCGCCCCGACTCCCTGCCCGCTGCCACCCAGGGACAAGGTCAGGGGGGCAGTGAGACCCACAGGGACACAGCCCAGGCTGGGGACACCCTCCCGTCTCACCCGTGGGGGGGGTCCAGGAGAGGATGTAGCCTGAGGCGCCAGGGACCGGGCTCCAGGTGAGTGTCACTGAGTCCCTCCGTACCTCTGTCACCTGCAGGCTGGTGACAAGGCCCAGGGCAGCTACCAAGAGAGGAGAAGCATGTCCCAGCCCCCAGCCAGCTCCCATTCCCCACCCATCACCCTCCACAGCCCAAGGCACTGCCCAGTTCCAAGTTCGCTCTGGGCTGCCCGTGCCCTGCACACAGTCCTGTACCGGTAACACCAGTGATGGTGGCTGGCTCGCTCTCCCGGCCACCGGCCAGGCTGGTGATGCTGATCTGGTAGCGCCGTCCTGGCTCCAGCCCCGTGAGGTCGTAGTTGGTGGCAGTGGCTGGGAGCTGGTGGCTGCGCTGCGGCCCACCTGTGCGGGCACAGAGGGGTGAGGGTGCACATGGGGGGGCCTGTGGGGTGCAGGGGGCTGGGGTCACTCTCACCTTCAGCCAGGCGCCAGACCAGGCGGTACCCGGCGCTGCCAGCGGCCGGCACCCAGGCCAGGCGCAGCCGGTGCTCTGAGGCCTCTGTCACCTGGAAGCTGCTGATGGGGGGCACCGGCGCTGCCTCCGCTGTTGGGCAGAGAAGCAGGGTTAGGGGCAGTGCTCCTGGTGTCACCCCAGGTGCTGCCCCTGCCCCAGCACTCACGGGTGGTGACGACAATGGAGACAGGGTTGCCCTCGCGGTTGCCGATGAGCGCTGTCACCTTCACCGTGTAGGAGACACCTCCCTCCAGGTTGGGGATGTCGAAGGAGCTGGTGTGGCCGGGAACGTGGCGGCTGCTCTCCGAGCCCCCTGCCGAGGAGCATGGATCAATCCCCAGCCCTCCATCCCCACAGCCCATCCCCGTCCCCATCCCACGGTACCGTCCCTGCGGCTCCACACCACGCGGTAAGCCGTGGCTCCTGGCACACCGACCCAGGTGACACGGGCGACGTTGTTCCTGGATGCCTGCACCTCCAGCCGCGACACCGTCCCCACCTGCTCGGGTGCTGTGGCACCAAGAGGACCATGTCACCGGGGCCGGAGGCCAGCGGCACCAGCCAGCACCGATGGGCAGGGGGACACCTCACCGGTCCGCGCCGTGGCGGTGACAGGGCTGCCCTCACGCCCATCCACAACGGCAGCGACACCAACGGTGTAGATAACGCCGGGGCGCAGCCCCTCGATGGTGAAGGCGGTGGGGTCGGCGGGGAGGAAGCGGGACTGCTCCACACCTGCAGGGGACGGCTGCGATGGGAAGGGCTCTGGCGCCACCGCGCAGCCTCCCGCTGTGCCCGCACTCACCGTCGCTGCCCCGCCAGCTCAGCACGTAGCCCCCGGCGCCCGGCAGCCCCCGCCAGGTCACCCGGAGCTGCCCGGGACTCGCCTCCATCACCCGCACCTCCGACACGGTGCCCACCGCCGGGAGCTCTGCACCGCCCCACGGCACCGCAGCGTCACCGCGGGGTGCTCAGAGGGGCCCTGCGGCCACCCGGCACCCCACGGGGGTAGAGGACAAAGGCATGCGGGGGGGAAAGGGGGTGTGGAATGCACAGCACTGGGATCCCGGTGCCAAACCCCGGCGGGCACTCACTGCGGCGGACGGTGAGCGTGGCCGCGCTGCCCTCCCGGCTGCCTGCGAGCGCCGAGACCCGCACCAGGTAAGCGATGCCCTCGCGGAGGTCACCCAGCTCAAGCCCCGTCTGGCTGCCGGGGACGCGCCTCGTCCTCTCCGTGCCATCTGCCGGGAGCGCAGCCACAGGCACTCAGCACCCTCCGGCCGGTGGGGCCCTGGGCGCTGCCTGCACCCTGCCCTGCTCACCCTGCCACAGCCTGACCCGGCCCCGCTCACCCTGGCTGTTGCGCACCACCACTTTGTACTCGGTGGCGCCAGGGACGCCCGTCCAGCCCAGCCGCAGCCACCGGCTCGACTCCTCGAGCACCCGCAGGTCCGACACAGCTCCCACGGGCACCTCCACGTCTGAAAGGGCACACGGTGAGGCACGGCCCCAGCATCACCCCAGGACAAGGCTGCAGAGCTGGGTCTCATGGCCAAGGGGTCCCTGGGATGAGCAATACCTGGGACATCCCAATGGATTGGAAGGGTGGGGACAACCCGGGGACCCCCGGCAGTCACCTGTCTGGAAGGTGGTGACAGGGGTGGCCACCTCCCTGCCATCGTAGAGCGTGTAGAGGGTGATGCGGTACTCAGTGCCTGGCTGCAGCCCCGTCAGCTGGTAGGTGTTGGTGCTGCTGGGGAGCGACACTGTTCTGGGGGGCTCCGGTCCTGCGGGTAGGGGGGGGTCAGTGCAAGCTGCTGGCACAAGGGGTCCGTGGCAATGATGAGGCACCCTGAGCCTACCTGTGGCTCTCTTCCACTCCAGACGGTAGCCACGGGCATCGCGAGCACTGGTCCAGAGCACCTGGATGGACGTGGGGCCCAGGATGTTGGTCCGCAGCATCTGCTCTGCACCCGGCTCTACAAGAGGGACCCCATGAGCCAGGCTGGCCCGTGCCACGCTGCCACCAGCCCCGCACACCGCAGGAGCACTGCTGTGGTGCACGGCCATGGGGATGGTCCCCCCTCATCCCATGGCAAGGGCAACAGGGTAGGAACGGGGTGGCAGCCCCATTCCCAGCACCTACCCGTCCTCTGCCGCACGGTGGCTGCTGGTCCCTCCAGCTGCCCGAAGAGCGGGGCCACAGCCGCCACGTAGTCAGTGTTGGGCTGCAGCCCCCCCAGCGCATGTGACGTCCGCCCAGCATCCAGGTCCACCCTGTGCCTGTCCTGCCCTGCGGGAGCCGGCAAAACCATCCCTTGGGGTGCCACTGCCCTCTCCTGTCCCCTTCCCTGTGGCCACCAGCACAAGGGATGGGCACCTACCTGTGAGGGTGGCCCAGGACAGCCGGTAGCCAGTGGCCCCGCTGACGGGCTGCCAGGCCAGCAGCATGCTCTGTGCCGACACGTTGTGAACAGCCAAGTGCTGCACAGCCACCGGGGGCCCTGCGGTGAGAGGTTCCCCATGGGACACTGGGGCACAGAACAGTGGGAAGCACCAAGAAACCTGCCTGCTCCAGGGATGGGAACCCCTCTGGCCTCTACCCATGGATGCTGCACTGCACCAGGATCACCCAGGGCAGCCTGCACCCGGGTGGCTTCTTCAAAGCATCCCAGCTCCGAAGAACTGGAGCTCCAACACCTTCCTCCTAATGCCTTAAATACTTCCTGCTGGTTAAAGCCGCCTGGGGCAGCCGAGGAACTGGTTTGCCAGTTCTGAGGCTTCCAAAGGTGCTCCCTCGGGGGCTCGCCCCCGCGCCTGCCTGGTGATGCTGCCGCCACCCTCCTCCCTGCGGCAACCACGTTTTCCTCCTGCAGAGCCAGTGCTTGAATTCACCAAAACTGCACTTTTCCAGCCATTTTTACATCCCGTGGGGGAAGCATCAGTGGGAACACTCCCAGGAGGCTGCGAACGGGCTCGGGAGTGCCCCCTGGGAGCACCTTTTGGGGCTCAGAGCATCACCATCACCTTGTAGTCATGTGCGCACACATCCCCATCCGCCACCCCCCTCCCCAGGCATCAATGGGCCAGGCAGCCCCATCCCTATGGGGCATGGTGAGTGGAGGGGTGCCCCTGTGCTGGGAACCCATCCCCACCCAATGTGATCCCAGGGCCTGGCTCAGTGCTTACGTGTCCTTGCGGTGAGGGTGCTGGGGCGGGCGGGCTGCTGCGCGTAGCGGGGCCGCAGCATCACCACGTACTCGGTGTCGGGGTGCAGGCTGCTGAGCGTGGCCGATTGAGCGCTGGCCCCCAGGCTCTTCTCCTGCCGCTGGGCTGCTCCTGGTGGGGAGGCTGCGGTGGGCAGGGGCCTGGCGCGCTCCGTGCCGGCAACAAAGGGGTGTCCGCAGCCTGCCCTGGGGGTGCCAGGCGGTGCCAAGGGTGGGGAGCCGGGGAGAGGCCGGGACCGCAGCCAAGGGCACCCCGAGGGCCGTGGGGCAGGGAGGGGCTGCAGGTGTGCAGCTGCAGTGGGGCCCAGCAGGATGGGGGTGACACCCCCTGCATGCGTGTGCCGGCACCCCCGGCCTGCACCGGGCACGCGCCACATGGCACCAGTGTCATGAACACACCAGCACACACCTGAGCCTCGGGATGTAGGAACACACACATGGCCCCATGCCTCTGCACATACGTGTGCCCTGCAGCAAGGGCACCGGCAGCCACAGTGCTCTGGCCGTGCACCCCTGCACCAAACCCCCTGCATGCACCCCTCCAGGCATGGTCCCTGCCATGCCCAGCCCGGCATATGAAGCAGTGCAAAGGCATCCAGGCAGGACAGCTCCCTTGTAGGGACCATTCCCTCCCCTTGCATGTCCCTCCCCTTGCACATCTCTCACCTCGCACATCTCTCACCTCGCACATCCCCTCACCTTGCACACCCCCTTGCACATCCCTCACCTCGCACACCCCCTTGCACATCCCTCCCCTTGCACATCCCTCCCCTTGCACATCCCTCCCCTTGCACATCCCCTCCCCTTTCACACCCCCTTGCACATCCCTCACCTTGCACATCCCTCACCTCGCACATCCCCTCCCCTTGCACACCCCCTTGCACATCCCTCCCCTTGCACACCCCCTTGCACATCCCTCCCCTTGCACATCCCTCCCCTTGCACATCCCTCCCCTTGCACACCCCCTTGCACATCCCTCCCCTTGCACATCCCTCACCTTGCACATCCCCTCCCCTTGCACACCCCCTTGCACATCCCTCACCTTGCACATCCCCTCCCCTTGCACATCCCCTTGCACATCCCTCACCTTGCACATCCCCTCCCCTTGCACATCCCTCACCTTGCACATCCCCTCCCCTTGCACACCCCTTTGCACATCCCTCCCCTTGCACATCCCCTCCCCTTGCACATCCCCTCCCCTTGCACATCCCCTCCCCTTGCACATCCCTCACCTTGCACATCCCTCCCCTTGCACATCCCCTCCCCTTGCACATCCCCTCCCCTTGCACACCCCCTTGCACATCCCCTCCCCTTGCACATCCCCTCCCCTTGCACATCCCCTCCCCTTGCACATCCCTCCCCTTGCACACCCCCTTGCACATCCCCTCCCCTTGCACACCCCCTTGCACATCCCCTCCCCTTGCACACCCCCTCACCTTGCACACCGTAGCTGAGGCTGTAGCCCTGTGGGGGCTCGGGGCCGGGCTGCCAGGCCAGCCGCAGGAACGTTGGTCCAGTCTCCACCACACGGAAATCCAGCACGGAGCCAGCCTGGCTCTCTGGGGACAACGCAGAAGCAGGGGTGAGCCCCAGCCCCGTGTGCCCCTGCCCATCACAGACATGGCCCCGCTCACGGATGCTCATGGACACTCACGGGTGCGCGCTCGGCCGGACACGGACTCGCCGACGCTGTTGGCGTACTGGGCAGTGACAGTGACCAGGTACTCGGTCCCCGCGCGCAGCCCCCGCAGCACGGTGCTGGTCTCCCGTGGCCCCAGGCTCACCTGGGCAGGGACCGTGTCACCCCTCAGTGTCCCCAGGCCATGCATGGGGCCGCTGGGGACCCCAGGTGCGCGGGTGGGACCCTCACCTCCTGCCTCTCAGCCACAACCGGCTGCCCCAGCCCGGTCAGCGGCACGCGCTGCACCCGGTAGCCGGTGACGGGGCCGCTGGCCGCGGTCCATCTTATCTGCAGCTGATCAAGGCCCCGCTCCAGGAACTCCAGGTTTGAGGGGCCGGTGTGGCTTGTCCCGTCTGCAGGGGAGCACAGGGGCCATCAGCTCCAGGGTGCGTGGGGCAGCAGGGAGAGCTTCCCAAGTGGCACAGCCATGTGCTCAGTGTCACAGGACGGACAGGGAGGCATTCTGGGGAGGGTGGGTGCTAAAGGTGGACCCAGGGAGGAGGACAGGAGTCCATACCCAGCGTGCGCAGGGTACCCCCGACGCTCGTGCACACCCTGCGTGTCATCAGCGGCACCAGCGTCCCCAGCAGCTTGAAGTCACCAACATAGAAGAAGAAAGCATCGGTGGGCATCGAGGCAACACGGATCAGCTCCTTGCGGTCGGCATTCTTGACTCCTGGCAGGGATGGAGATGATGGGTGAGGGCAGGAACCCTGAAGCCAGCAGCAGACCCTCTTGTCCAGTGCCAAAGCCTCACTCACCAACAGCAAAGACCTTGATGCCCTGGCTCTTCAGCTTTGCTGCCGGCCCCTCAGCATCATCCTGGGACTTGCCATCCGTGATGAGGATGCAGATCTGCGGGGCCAGGGATGAGCCATAAGCCCCAGCCTAGGGCCCACAGCCCTGCTGTGTCATTCCCTGGGTGCTCCCGGGGCCACAGCCATGCCCGTACCTGGGGGACCCCAGGCCGGAGCTGGGTGGGACCAAAGAAGTTGTCAGCCACATAGCGGAAACCAGCACCGGTGCGCGTGTTGCCGCCCTTGTAGCTGAGCTGCTGGATGGCCCTCCGGACACTGGAGCCGTTGGTGTGCTGGGAGAAGGAGAACTCCACCCTGGGGAGCAGGGGACACGTCAGCTCCCATCCCCGCTGCCCACTGCTCCCATGCCCCTTCCTGGGGCTCACCGCGGCTCGTCGCTGTACTGCACCACGGCGAAGCGCACGGCCCTCTCGCCCACCGCCGGCACGAAGGGCACCACCAGCTCCTCCATGAACGTGCGGATGGCGCGGAAGTTGTTCCTGCCGATGCTGGACGAGCCGTCCACCAGGAAGGCGATGTCGGCCTCCAGCACGTCCTCACACACCGCTGCGGGATGGCGACAGTGCTCAGGGCACAGGCTGGCACCATGGCACCGTGCTGGCCCCTCGCCCACTGCGTGCACCCGGTGCTCAGCACCCACCTTGGCTCCTCTTCTGCACCGCGGCAACCGGCGGGCCCAGGAGCACAGGGAGCACGGTGAGGAGCAGGAGCCGGCTGCTCATCGTGGGAGCCTGAGGGAGAGGAGGATGCCACCATTGCCCCATGTCCTGGGGACACCGGTGACAGCACAGCAGGACCGGGGAGGCACCAGTACCACACCGTGCCAGGGCACATGGCAGCCTCAGGAGGACAAAGCGCCACTGCTGGCACCCCACGAACCAGGGAGAGCCCCTACTTTGGGCCAGGGCAGCGGGCCCATGCCTGGCCTTGTCACCACACATCCCCATGCTGGAGGCACAGCCGGCAGTGCCCAGTGCCACACTCCAGGCCGGGAGGTGCCAGTGCCCGGTGGGCAGCCGCTGCCTGTCCCTGCCCGGGAGGGAGCCCCGACGGCAGCGTGCGGGGGGCCCCGGCTCCGCTCTCTGCCCGGTGCCTCGGGGAGTCGTGCCCAGGGTGTGCGCGGGCTCTGCCTCCACAAGCCCTTCCCGCTCCCTGCCTGCTCCCTGCCTGTTCCCTGCCTGCTCCCCGCTCCCTGCCTGCCCATCCCGGCCCCGGCACCAGCTCCCCGCAGCCCCCAGCCCTGCTACGGGGACCCCCGTTGCGGGCGGCGAGCTCGGGCTGCTCCAGAGCAGCCAGGGTGGGCGAGAGCCGCCGCTCCCCGCGCACACGGCTGCGGGCGGGGGAACACCCGGCCTGACACCACTGCGATGGCCACGCCGGGTCTCAGCCCAGCACAGCGCGGCCCGGTTGCACCGGGGAGGAGCGCGCCCGGAGGGGAGGGCGGACGAGAGCCCGCGGGGGGGTCGGTTCGGTTCGGTCCGGTCCTGCCCCGCAGCACCCCCCTGCCCCGCCTGCAGCGGGACCCCCGCGGCCGCACGCACTCACCCACCGCGGGGCTGCACCGCTCCGTGCCGAGCCGCTCCGAGCCGAGCCGTACCGAGCAGAGCCGGGCGCAGGCGGTCCCGGCGCGTACCGGCCCCCGGTGCTCCCGCCCCTTTATCGAGGGCGGCCCGGAGCGCGGTGCCGGGAAGGGGGGGAAGCGGGAGCGTCGCGGCCCCCGCCCAACCCAGCCCCAAAAAGGGCTTTCCCCACCCCACCGAGCGGATCCCCCCAAAGTGCCGGCTCTGCTGCAGGCCGGGCAGGGGCTGGGGGCTGCGAGGGGTGGGTGAAGTGGGGGGTTTTGGACCCCGGAGAGGTTTCTGCTGGGCTCGGTGCCGAGCTGGGGCTCAAGGCAGTTTTCCCTCCTGCATCTCCCTGTCCCAGGAACTCTGGGATCTGCCAGCCAGGAGCCAGCCGTGCACCTCCGTCTATCTCAGGGCAATGTAATGTGCTCCTGGAGACCCCGGGGCACTGCCTGGCCCTGGGCAGAGTGGGATGGAGCTGCTGTGGGGACCCGAGTCCCTGGCCCGCTCCAGGTCAGAGTCTGGCTCCAAGCACCAGCCCTGGGAAGGCCTGTGGTGCTGGAGATGGGCTGCTCCCCACATGGGCACAGCTCCTATGAGGCTGCAGCCTGGCCGGGCCTCGGCAAGGACCTCTCCTGCACTCACAACTCGTGGGACCCCAGCACCCGTGGCTGAAGTACAGCGACTGCCCCGGAGCCAGCAGCAGCATCCTCCTGCCCTGCTCCGGATGCCACCTCCCCAACCCTAACCCTAACCCAGGAACCACCAGCTCACACCAATGGCCAAGACCCGCCCCAGAGCCAGTGAACTCGCCGGGAAGCCCCCAGTGGTGTGACTGCACGGGGTAGGGGAATGCCCAGCGAGGTGGCCAGGGACCTGCACTGCCCTGGCCTCCCTCTGCCCACCCAGCGACTGGAGGCACTGTCCCCTAGGGTTCCTCCTCGGCCCAGGGTGCACCCCTGACCCTCAAGGTGCCCCTCACCCCCAGGACACCCCATGGGATCACAGCTCTCCTTGGGGTGAATCACCTGCACCCCATCCTCCTGTTGGTGCCTGTGCTTCCCCGGGGCTGACCCTGCTTCATGGCCACAGCATGTGCCCCATGTGTCACCTCCCCCTGTTTTCTCGGTCACCCACATCCCCAGCACCCCGCGTACCTGCGCCCTCCTGGCTCCCCTCGGCTCCCGGTGGGGCAACGGGCAGCTCCGGGGGCATCTTCCAGCAGGAGGGAGGGGAGCGGCAGGGGGGGTCCCCGGGGCCACCGCAGGGATGGGGACCCGAAGCAGGGCCACCTGCCACCGAGCAAAGATGCTCCAGGGCCGGCTGTAGGCAACTTTCCCAGGCACACACAGTTCCCAGGCAGGGGAGGGGCGGCGATGCCCCTGCTCTTCTTAAAGGCGCAGCAGGCAGCGCATCCCCTCCTCTTCATTAGCCTTTCCCTCGTTAGGCCCCTGCCCCGGCCCCCAAACCTGGCCGGTGGCTCCAAAGTTCACCGTGGCCACGGGTTTCCCCCTCCTTCCCCAGCTCCAGGGATCCGGCATCCCCAGGCCAGGACCATCCCCAAGCCGCTCGCTCAGAGGATGTCCCAGTTAGACAAGGGGCTGCGTTACAGCGGGGGTGCGGGGCCTGCCAAGGCGCTGTGCTGGCCCCGGGCCCGGAGCTGGCGGAGCAGCCCCACGGCGTGGTGCCTGCGGCAGGGCAGGGGCAGACGGGGGTCACTGGGCTGTGAGGGGGCAGTGCTGAGGCCAGCATCACCGCGGGCACCGGGGCACCGAGCAGTGACGCTCTGCAGCCGTGCCACGGGCTCTGCCTGCCTGTGGTTCATCACAGACGCATCCTGACCATGGTGCCCGCAGCATCCCGCTTGCACTGGCACTGGAGAGGGGCACGCAGGGTGCTGGGTCCCCAACATCAAGGTGCCTCCTCCATGCGGTGTTTCCCGGCTCTCTGCGCATAGCAGGGCCGGGAAGGAATCCGTGGCCGCCGGCACACGGACAGAGCCTCGGAAGAGGGAGAGCTCCAGGTGTGAGTGATTCACTGGGTGCTGCTGCAGCCGATCCCTCCAGGAACATCCCAGGAAGCCACCGGCCCTTTCCCGAGCCCTGCCGTCTGAGAACTGGCACGGAGGAAGCCTGGGGCTGAGCCTCTCCCTGCCCTGCGTTGCCAGGTGAGCAGCCGCGGTAGGAAACAAGAGGAAAACCTATTTTCTGCGCCCTCAGGTGAGGTTTCAGCTGTGTTGGGTGAGTCACGGTGAGACGCGACGCTGCAAGAAGCCAGCTGCAGCCGCGGTGCCCTGGGTCCCATCCGATGCCCCACGTCCCGCGGCCGGGATTCGGCACAGCCCGCACAGGGGTTTGGTGTCCCAGCCCCTCGCTGTCCGGCAGCGCTCCCTGCCCCGGCATCCCGGGGATGCGCGGGGCAGCTCCAGGGCTGCTGGAGGGGACCTGCCCCCTGCCCGGGCCCTTCCACATCGGGGGGCTCCGGGCTCAACGGGGCTGGCGCCGCGGAGGGCGAGGGGAGGAGGAGCGGCCGGAGCCAAGAGGAGCCTCGCCTGCCGCGGGGCCGGTTGGGACACGCTCCAGGAATGTCTCCCAGCACCAGGCACCGCCAGCTCCCAACCGCAGCACCCCGGGATCCCACCGCCATCACCGGCTGGCTCCGGGAGAGCACCGGGGGGTCAGCATCGTGCTCATGATGCGGCCTCAGGGACTTGTGGGCCACCCCATGGGGCTCCCCAGCAAGCCCAAGAGCCACAAAATGGGCCAGGGAGGGGAGCTGGTCACCCTTTACCACCTGCTGACCTGCCCTCAGGGCTTGGGGTAGGAGACAGCCTCCCTGAAGGCTCCTCAGCACCAGAGGGGACCTCCTGCAGCACCCCCCATCCTGCTGCAGCCCAAAGCCACATCGCTGCAGAAGGAAGCAAAGTGTCACATCAGGGGGAAGCCATTCCCAGTGAGTTGCCCTCTGCCCTGCGGCACTGGGGATGCTCCTGTCTGCAGGGACCACAGAGGATCTGGTGGGTGATGATGGGGACAAGTGGTCCCTCATCCCTCAGGGCTCCCCCCAAGCCGTTGCAGAGGGATCAGAAGCTTTTCCTGACCATAAACTGTTGTGTCTGGAGGCTGCTGCCAGCACGGCCACACACCAGCATCCCACAGAGCTGTGCTGGACTGCAGCCAGGCCCTGCTGTCCATGTGGACAGGGCTCCGGAGGGAATGGTGACACCCCTTGGCTGCAGGAAAAGGCAGCCCTGGTCAGCCTGACACAGGGACTGGGTTGGTTCCCAGGGAGAGGGAAGCCAGGCACTGACTGGGGGTGGTGGCACTTTGCAGCAGCACAGAGCCACAAAGGGAGGGTGATGGTGAGGACGATGGCAGCGGGATGAGGAGCCAGCGGCGCTGCGTAGGGCTCCAGAGCCCCCAGTTAACCAGCCATCTCCATTAGCTTTGGGCGATGGTGGGGTGCCCAGAGAGGCTGCACAGTAACTGGGGCTGGGTACCAGGGACCTGGAGCAGGCAGGGACTGAGGTGATGCACTCCATCTGCACTGACCACCCAGGTTCTTCACACTCCAGTGATGGAGGCACAAGCTGCTTGCCTTTGCTCTCACACACAGGAGGGACCAGGCTCTGTAAAATAAACCCAGCTTGTCCCCGAGGATGGGGATGCAGGAAAGGGTGGGAATGCAGGGACCAGACACAGCAAAGCTCCCAGGGGATGGGAGGGAAGGCAGGAGTCCAGCACTGCTCCTGGGGACCTCAGGGGAACGCTCACCAGCACCGTGCACAGGATGGTGCCACCGCTTCCTGCTTCACACCAGGCTGAGCAGGGAGACACCGAGGATCGGGATATGCCCAGCCCATGGAGCCCGACCTGCAGAGCTGGGGCACTTGCCGGCATCACAGCAGCTCTTGTCACACATGGGGACAAGCTGCCCAGCAGCTCCCAAACCTCACAGCACCTCTGAAGCCCATTGCTGCCCATCCCTCCTGCCTCAGCCTCAGTGCAGGGGGAGATGGGCAAGGTACAGGAGCGGCCTGACACTGAGCTGGGAAGGGGCTCCCAGCCAGACCAGTTGCCCCACGGACATTATGGGCACTGGCAGCAGGAGGAAGGGCAGGCAGCATTCGGGCCTGGGAAGCTGCAGCCATTGCTGGGATGCCACCGGCTGTGCCACAAGAAGCTGCTCCCCACGGGGGGTTTGTGCAGCTCTGTGGGGATGGGAGTATTTGTTCCTCCCTCCAACTGCCTCCCAGGCTGTTGCATCGGCTCAGGGCAGCTGTATTCCCAGGGGAGGAGCGTTGCCAAGAGGAATCAAGGAGCCATCCCTCAGGGGCCCCTATCCCAACCGCAAAGGACAGAGTGAGGACATGCTGAAGCACTGCTCTGGGATGCTGCTGCTGCTGCACTGGGGCTCGCTGTGGACGGTCATTGCCTTCCCAAGAGGAACAAGGATGGGAACAAGGAGTCACTGGTGGCGAGTGCACCACCCCTCCTGCTGCGGGCCATGGGTGCTGCCAGCCCCAGCACAGCAGTCACCGGTGGCAGGGACCCGCTCCGAGGTGCTCGGGGGGAGTCTGCCCACCCCAGCTCCCCAGCCCCAGGCCCCACAGCCCCGTGCCAGGGAACATCCCCGCCCGGGATGCCGCAGTGTGGAAGCAGGAGCAGCATCGGGAGCCCGGGGGTTGCTCAATGCCTCGGTGCTTCCTCCCGCCCCTGCTCCGTGTTTCACAACCCGCACCCACACGCCCTAAACCCGGGGCTCGCTGTGAACCCCCGGGGGGGGGGGCTCAGGGCAGAGCCCCCCTCCCGCTCCGTGGGCTCGGCTGCTCCTTGCGCAAGGGGAGCATCACCCGCGCCCCCGGGCTGGCGGGAGCCGTGCGGGGCGGCCCTGCGGGAGGGGACGGGGACCCGGCAGGGCCGGCGCCAGGCAGGGGCAGGGTGCGGGGTGCGCGCCACGGGAGAGCATCGGCTGCGCTGCAGCCGCCGGGAAGGGGCTTGTGCAGGTCCTGGGGCTGGTACAGAAGAACCATGGGAGCGTTTACGGTGGAAAAGACGTTCACGATCATCGAGTTCAACCATTCCCCAGCACTAAACCATGCCCCCGAGGGCTACAAGTCCTTTAAATCCCTCCAGGGATGATGACTCCACCGCAGCCCTGCTCCTGGGCTTGTCAGCCCTTTCCATCAAGAACTGTTCCTAGTACCCAATCTGGAAGAGCTGGCACCAGCTGCTCTGCCCGCAGGACACTGTTGTGCCTTCCCATACACCAGCGACCAGCGCCGGGGCCCCAGCAGCCGCAGGTTCTACCGACCGCGGGAAGGATGCGGATGTGCTGGGGTGGTGAGGAGCTGGGGGCTGCAGGAGCACCCCTCGCTGTGGTGGGTGCCGGGGACCGCGCTCCAGAGGGCTCGGTGCTGTTCGCAGGGCAGAGCCGCTGCTCCCGGCTCCCTGGCAGGGAGCCCAGCTCCAGAGAGCAGCACAAAGAGGAGGCAGCGCCCGCCCGGCCCGGGAGGCTCAGTCTGTCACCATGGGAACCCCCGATGACTTCATACCCCCATGGAGCAGCACAGCCGCGTCACCGGAGTGGCACGGGCGGGTGGGCACAGGCACCGCACGCAAGGGATGTGGGGCAGATGCTGCGGGGGGGCGGCTGAGCAGCCCGGTGAGGATGCTGCAGGGGATGGTTGCAGTCTGCACCCACAAACAAGGGCTGGGGCTCAGAGCTCCAGCTTCTTGCAGAAAGCACAGCCCCACCACCACTGAACCCTCCTTGATGACATGGGGAGGCAGGAGTAAAGGATCCTGTCTGTGGGCCCCTGCCACCTCCGGGAGTAGCCCAGCACAATGGGTGATACTCAGGTAGACTCCACAACTCGTTAAAGTTGTAAAGTAGGTATGCTTTTATTCAGCACTGAGGCACACAGGGGATAGCTCCTCCAAAGGCATGCGCACCTCAGCATATGTCCTTCATATTTATCCTCTAAACTATTATATATTCACGAGGTTACACAATACACCTATACATATTCATGGCATAATGAGGTAAAAGGTCCTTGCTTGCGTAGGGTCTCCTGGTGGTCATGGGCAGGGGGCTCAAGATGAAGTAAATGAGTCTTCCCTGAGCTGTTCATCTCCAGTCACTGTGCATGTTCCCTGGTGATTTAGTCACTCTCCAAACCACAAAGCTGATTTCAGCCGATTTAGGGGTCCAGAGAACAGGAGTTACTGTTCCTTCCTCCTATCAATAGCCTTGGTCTTCCCACCCTGTTCCAGCAAGCACAGTCAGTGTTGAGCACTTGTTGAGTAAGCACCAGTAAGCAGTAACATCGTTAAGCAAGTGGCTTAACCCTAACCCCCCTGTACATTGGTTAACCCTTCGCATCATGGGGAGCTCCTCACCCCTGTCCATCCTCCCAGCAGAGCCGGAGCAAGGTCACTGTGAGTCACTGCCGTGCGTGCGAAGCAGAAGCAGGATCCCGTGTTCCTGTGTCCCTGGAGCTGCTGCCAAGCGCTGCACATCTGGAA